AGCTCACTGTGCGACGCCCCGGCCCCCCGTATACTCCAATTGCAGGGTCTTAATACACTACTGTAGCATCCTGATAAAACAGCATGGAAACAAGGAGGAACCTATTCCGAGTCGCTCAATCTGAGCCGGGAGGAGATAGGATAGTGCGCTCACCGCTGGAGCTGGTAAAGGCAAAGAAAGCTGAGGAGGAAGATCTAAATTGAATCTCTGCTTTTGGGATGCTCCTATTCTGATGGAGAGGAGGAGAGCACGCCGGGAAGAATGGAAGAAAAGAGTCAAGATGGGGGGAGAAAAAGGCAAAGCACAGACGGAGGAGGAGGAGGGCGCCTGATTCCCACAACAAGTTGGATGTCACCTGTCTACACTACACAGCACCACACACACACACACACACACACACACACACACACACACACACACACACACACACACCACACACACACACACACACACACACACACACACACACACACCACACACACACACACACACACACACCCACACACACACACACACACACACACACACCACACACACACACACACACACACACACACACACAACACACACACACACACACACACACACACACACACCACACACACACACACACACACACACACACACACACACACACCACACACACACACACACACACCAGATAGGATCGGTGAATGGCCGGTAAATTAAAGAACACGATCCTAAAGTAAGGATAACAGACAGGCGACCAGAGAGAGGAGGAGAACAGATACAAAGAGGGGAAACCGTTAACATAATAGGAAGGTTTAACAAAGCAGGTAAAAAAAAGACACAAGATTTTTACATTTAAGAAAAGACATAGAAATGGAAAAAGATTTTGTTTAGAGAAGGAGAAAAATATATGAAAATGGGTTAACAAACAGGGAAGAAGAGAAGGAAGACAAATCAGGAACACATTGAGAACACAATGCTAAAAAAAGTAAAGCGAGGAGAATGGCAGACGGAAGAGGAGAGAAAGATAAAAGAAGAAGAAAAAGGATGATAATACAAAGAAAAGCAATATGTGATAAATATGAGAAGGTAAAACTGGATAGGAGAAAAAGAAAGGGAGAGAGAAAGGAGAGGGCATGTTAGGAAAAAGGAAGGGGCGTGTGATGAATTGCAAAGAACATGGGAGGAAAAGAACAGAGCTTAAAAATAGGACAAGGAAAGAAGAATTGCAAAGAGAGAAAATAAAAAGGACAAAATAACAAGAAAGAGAAAGAGTCAAGAACATTAACAAAAAGGACAACTCAAAAACAGAAGAAGTAAGGAAGAATAGAGCGGATAATGGAGAACGAGGAGGAAGCGGGTAGTTTGGGCTGGATTTGATTAGGTCTGATCTTCCCTCGGGGCCTCTGGGAGTGTGTTGCAGCTGAGCCCCTGAGATGCATGGCCCCTGTCAGAGCCAGGCCCCCCAGCCTCCCTGCTGAAACAGCGCTATAATTCTGCCCTACATCTGCATTCAGAGGTCATTCATCACAAAGTGCACAGTCACAGGTATACCGGCCTGCAGCTACGCGCCCGCCAAATACTCTGCAGCTGCAGTTCCTATAACTCTGCACTATTTCTACTCTAAATGTGCTCAATGTCTGCATTTGAAATCTGCCCCAGCCTGCTTTAATTCTGCTAATGCATCAAACTCTTCTCTACAGCAAAGACTTCTCAACTACTTTCTCCAACTCAGCTTAATCTTGATGTTGTTAATCTACTACTTCAACAGGCTGGAGGTCTTCTTTTAATCTGGTATTCTGTTCAGTATGTTTTAATTGACTTCAACACCACTGAGCTTGAACTCTTTTAAAATCTATTTGATGATTTTGAGACTAAATCTGCTTAACCTCTTAGACCCCACGGACCCTATGGCGAGTCCGAAACCACAACATCTGCAAGTAACAGTGTCTGAGGGCTTCTTAAGATTTAATAAACTATGAATGTTTCATATCCATGTAACGGGAAGAAACTCAGCTAACTGATGATTTTTTTTGTCTGCCCTTGGCTAAATCGAAAGAGTTAAATCAGCATATTCTCACAGCTAAATCATTTGTCATGTTATGAACTCTGCCAGATTCACACATCAAAGTCTGCTTACAGGTCTTAAGGAGTACAACTGCGTAGGTACAAGTATGTTGGGTCCAAGGAGAGGGCTACATGAAGTCTGATAAGTTGCACTGAGTTATGTCACCTGAGTCAGTGTCATTTGGGGTTTCATAGGAACAAGTTGGCATTTCTCAATGTAACTAATGGGGATGTTAATGTATGGAAAATGACTTATTATTCCTCAGCAAAGAAGCACAAGAAAATCTAGCAGTGCAAACCAAACAACAGTATGAAACAATAGCAACCAAATGTAATTCATTGATTCAACACGTTATTTGGCCCAATTAAATATTAAAACAAATGGTAAATGGACTTCATTTATATAATAATAATAATACATGAGACTTGTATAGCGCTTTTCAGGAAACTCAAAGACGCTTATAGTGCATATAGTGCTTAATCCAGTCTTTACAACTCCTCAAAGCGCTTTATATATCTACAAAAATCATTCACACATTCAGTCCCATTGTTACAGAGGCAGACTCCCATGCAAGGTGTCCCCTGCTTCAGCCATTCAGAGCAACTGGGGGCTAAGATCAAAGCTAAACCCTTCAGATTGGAAGAAGACCGCACAACCTCACTGCACGATTTTGGGAAAAAATCTTATTGCGATTTCGATTTGCGATATCTGTTTTTAAGCGACCCAATGGAAGTGTATTGTAAAATGTGGCCATATCTCCGACTAGGAAGGTTGCATCAACATGCTCCCGTCTCTAGCAGCCTGAGCTACGAGTGAAATAACTAAACTTACATGAAACTTCCGTTGGGTTGCTTTAAAGTCAAGCTTCAGTTTAAGATTCACCCTGTAATAGAAAACATGTGATGGAGCATTACTAACCTGACCCAGATGGTTTGTTTCACCAAACCATCTAGGAAAGCTCCATTGGAAGCCATTTGGAAAGGGCAGGCACTTTCAAAAATACTTGGCAGGTGATTGGATCAATCTGTCTATCACCTTCTATCATGGGCCACTTCTGATTGGTTAACAATGGCTGGTACATGTGGAACACAGCACTTGTGATTGGTGTGGATGAGTGACACACAAGAAGAAGAAAGAAAAAAAAATCGCAGGCTTTGCGATTTGATAATCGCATCATTTAAAATCGCGATTTCGATTTAAAATCGATTAATCGTTCAGCCCTACCTCACTGCCACAGAGACATTTGTTGTAGTCAAGCTAAAACATCGGAAAGTGAGGGGTTGTGCCAGGTCTGACGGGTTAAATAAAATTCCCACTAAATCTTCACTTCAGGATCTACATTAAGAACGTAAACCTAACAATGCACGCCCAACAGCAGGACCAAGATATATTCTATATTTAGAGATTTAATGAAGACCGTCTTTCACTCTCTTTGTTGCACTCCTATCTTGAAATGGCTTGGCTCCAACACATCCATATTGACAGAAGTTGCTACCTTCAATTTCTCTATCAGTGTTTGAAACACACAGATGGTCCTCTGCACCGACACAAGGCTGCTTCCTAAAATGAATCGTGACTTTAATAGGCTTTCTTCATTTTTCATGCCAGCAACCATTTCCTGTGAGTAGGTGTTGAATAAGTACTTATTTTTCCAAATGAAGAATAAACCTAATTTCTAAGTATACTGTAGGCTGGATCTACAATATGCAAGTCTTATCTGCATGTGTTTAGCTCCAGGGTTAACTGAATTCATTCTCATTAGAATTCATAGTCTATCCGCAATAACTGGCTGTAACGCAGTGTGTTACTCATCATCATCATCACCGGCCTTCACTCTGTCAGCTAACGTACACTGCATTGACCCATATCATGTGTGTTACACCTGCACTACATTTCAAACTCTTCCACACAGCCAAGCTCAATTTAGCCTTCTTGGCTTTTTGAAATCTAATGAACACTTTGAAGAAGACTCAAGATGATTAAGAGAAAACCAGGAGTGGACAGTGACTAAGTACATTTGAGCGACCTTGAGGTTATAGAATAGAATCGTTTAATGTCATTATACATGTACAATGAGATAATAATAAATGCTTCTCCCTTTCAAGGGTGCCATCAAAACAAAAACAAAACATCACAACATAAGACAACAAAATACACGCAGCATACATACTTAGGAATAAGGAATAAAGTGCAGTAATTATGTCCAGGAGTATAAAAATAAAATCTGTAATGTAATAAATAATAATAATAATAATAGTGTGTATTTATAATAATAGTAATGATATATATGTATGTATATGTATATGTACAGAGTCACATTGATTCACATGATTTCAGGTGTTAAGAGCAATGATGGCTCTTGGGAAAAAACTGTCTTTGAGTCTGTTTGTTTTGGATGTGATACACCTGTAGCGCCTGCCGGAGGGCAGCAGGTTGAACAGGTGAAAGCCGGGGTGTGAGCTGTCCTTGATGTTAGGGAATAATTTGCCTAGGTATTCAACCTTTGACACAGTTCATAATTTTCTCCTCTCACTGTCTCCTTTCCCATGGCATAGTTCTACGGCCTTGGGTATTGCTGCTATCTCTTTTAAGGAGGGGCAGCTTGGACTGATATTGCACTAATATGATCCTGGTTGGACTTTTGCAAAAATATTTATACAGAACAAAGATTGTTTTGAGTTTTGTAGTATATCATTTGTGGGCTGTAACATCTCTGCAGTACAATACTAACCCATTTTGTCTTTGGATTGAATGTTGTTCTAGTTCATATTGCAATTTTGTAAAAGATCTGATGAATGTTTCAGCCCTAGTGAGGAATATCTATCACCATAAGGGACTGTATCACAAACTGCTGTCAACCGACACAAGACTGAGCTCCAGCTGAAGGGAGGACGAGCAATCAGTCCTCAAGGGTTTTCACGGTGATCACTCAAAAATGAAAGAATAAAAAGGTTGTGCTCACCTTGACGTTTCCTCCTATCAGGTCAGGTGGCTCCTCGTCCGTCTCCAAGGCAACGTTGATGGTGGCGAAAGGCCGGCTAGCCATCTGTTGCATCTCCCTCAGCAATTGCTAGGGAGGAGAAGAAGAGGAGGGTGAAGGTCAGTGACAGCTGAACACAGACCGTCTATCCTCCAGTCAAGGCAAGGAGGGGAAAAGTATTCAAATCGTCCACTCAAGGAAAGTAAATACACAGTAAAGAAAAACGTATATAGTGTTGTAAGTACAGGTCATCACGTACATATGTGACCTAACATTGTCATTGTCATAACTACACTATAGCTATGTACGTATGACTAATAAAAAAGCCTTGAGAGCCATGGGATGCATTGTTAATATACAGTAGATATTGGTAGAAGTACAAATTGTCAAGAATGGTGCTTTTAATGCTTTATAAATCAGTAGCGATTGTTAGTAATCTATAACAAGTAATAGAGCTACAACAATAGATTGAATGACAAAAATAAATAAAATCAACAACAGTTTGATAAACAATACATCTTTAAAGTACAATTCATGCAAAACATGGTCAGAGTGCTTTTTCGGCCTCTCAAGTGTGGACATTCCCTACTTTTCTCTGTGTTAGTTAGAACAGGCTGCAAGTCAAACGTGTTGGGAAAAAACACACAACTAATTGATCATTTGAAATACTAGCCCTTTAGCTCTTCAAGGAAGTCAAATGGCTACCAAGTGATGTGATGCGTTCATTGTGTGGAGAGTTTTTCTATAATAAAAAAAAAAGAGCTTGACACGATCTGTTGGCCTCTGTCTCATTAAAGTGAGTCGTTGGCAGAGAAAAGGGGCAAGTAAAGGGCAGCGCTGCGATTCAACATGAAAGCACACGGTGAGATCACACATTACTGTGTGGACGTGTGTTCAGGGGGGGGTCAGAGCGTACGCACGGAGGGGTCAAAGCGTACGCACGAGGGCAACGACCTCTCGACAGACTCCTCCACAGCTTGTAATTAATCTGCTGAGCGTTTTCATCCCCCTGTGACGCTGTCAATTGTATTGACATGTTAGCCCTTCCTCTGGAAATGTAATTCCTTATAATTATATCCTTACCAAGTGTTATACAAATAGCTGGAGGCAAAGTCTCTTTCTGTCCACGGTAGAGCCTGACAATTTAATGTCCTGGATTCTCTTTGTAAAGCAAGCCAGCTCATTAAATTCCTGTGTGTGTGTGTATATGTGTGTGTATATGTGTGTGTGTGTGCGCGCTGTATCCAAATCTCCATACACTGGTGTAACAGCTGGGAGAGGAGAGGCTGAACCTTTATTTTACTGGAGTCACTACTTTTAAAAAGGAATTGTTTAACATTTTAACAGTTTAATATTCTGAATAAAAAAATGACGTCGATGCCACTTTCATCTCTATTCTGATTCTGATATAATAAAAGCATTCTATCAGCACTGCTAAAACTCATTACACACAAATCTGAGCATTAATAACGTTTTATAAACAAAATATTCAATAAATCAATGTTTATTTATATAGCCCAATATCACAAATGTTACATTTGTCTCAGTGGACTTCACAGTTTGTACAGAATATCAGTATGACAATATGACACCCTTTGTCCTTAGACCCTCTGTCCTTAGACCCTCACATCGTACAAGGAAAAACTTCCGGAGAAAACCCACAGTTTAAAGGGAAAAATGGGAAAAACCTCAGGGAGAGCAACAGAGGAGGGATCCCTCTCCCAGGACTGACAGACGTGCAATAGATGCCGTGTGTAAATTGAAAAGATATATATAAAAAAATATTCCATTGCCATCGCCAGTAGAGAAGTATTTTTTTGTGATTTTGTGTCTCTTGTCTGTGTTTGTTTATCTCATAAACACACAGGAAATAGGGTTATTAAACACTAGTTTGTTATTAAACAGAGTTACTATTCATTCTTTCTTTCAAACTCTCAAGCCAGACTTGGTGATTGTTTAAAAGTGGGATGACTTACAAGGATATGAAAGAGTTTTATTCAGTTTCTGTGGAGTTTAACGTGGTAAAATCCATCAATCAATCGATGGAGTCTGGTGGTTTTAAAGAGGCAAATATTTCCATAAGGTTAAGCATCTTTTCCTTTAGCATGTTAAAGTTGAATAAGTTGAATAAGTCATGCACCAAATGTACCAAATATTTAGTGATGACAGCTTATAGCTCTTCTTTGAGAGTTTGCAAGAGAAATAGAGCAATTTTCCAAACATAACCTTTCCTAGTAATGGGATGGCAATCATTATTCCTGACATTTTTATATACCAAAGGATACATCAATTAATCACATCGGCAGATTAATCCGTACATTATTCTTATATGCAGCGCTAAACCACTCAAAGCTTTTCACCATGTCTTACAAATTATTAAGGTTAACATTACACTTAATTAGGTGACCTAAAATAAGGACACACACACCTACCATGTATACATCACTTCAGGGGACATTACATTAGCCGCATTCACACCGCAGGACTTTCCCTGGTACTTTGGTTCTTTAGTTCCGTTAATACCAATAATGTCGCGTTCACACCGCCGGGACTACTCAGTGCCGGGAACTCTTTTGGCCATTTTCAGTCCCTGCTAGAGAGGTGGTACGAACCTGGTGATAAAAGAGTGCCAATTTCTATTCTATTTCTATTGGCTGGGCGAATTGCAAACCACGCCCCGTTAGACTCTGATTTTTTTTTGTTAGGCAGCCATTTTTTTCCTCGCTACAAAACCACATCCACACCTGAGCAAGTCGTTTTTTTGTACTTTAAAGCAGTTATGACCACACGTACTACAACACCGGAGCGGTGGAATGATGAGGAAGTGTCGGCGCTTCTGGCAATTTACTCTGAGGACGGGATGCAGCAGCTTCTACAGAAAGCAGTTCCCAACTCCAAATGTTTTGAGCGATGTTCGCAAAAGCTACTTGAGCTGGGAATCGTGCACAGTGCACACGGATGCCGGGTAAAAATAAAGAAACTCAGGCAGGACTATAACAAAATTAAAGACCACAATAATAAGAGTGGTAACGATTTTCTATTGTTATTATATATATATATTGCCACTGTTTTTTTAATACTGACACCTAACTTGCACTAAGGTGTGTCTGCTGCTATATATATTGCCACTGTTACATTGTTTTGAAACTATTTACACTTTATTTTACATTTCACACTTTTATTTAACTTCAATTTACACGCATACGACACACCTGGAACAGCGTGATGCCGTTATTGTTATGTCTTGACTGTGCAATAAAACAAACAAACTGGCGACGCTTTATTTATTGTGTCCCACCCCAAATTTGCAGAATAGAAGAATGTGAGAGCAGACAGGTGTCGGTGGTTGAATTTATCTACAATGTTGCAACCTTGTGCAGCAATGGCAGGGGCAGAAACACAAGTCTTACACACAGAAACACAAGTCATTTATCATGTCATTTGTTTGAGATAAATAAGGGAAAAACACCAAACAAGGCTTAATGTCCTTTTCCAAAATCAGCCTGAGGGGGTAATATATAATAAATACATAAAGATAAAGTCCATTGTTATAATGGGGTATTTTATTTGTAAATTACCCTTATGAACTCCATCATGTCTGAGGTCGGAAAGTAAACAAACGCCTCATACAGCGGGTGGGCTTTATACCCCCTCCCCCGTGTAGTTCTTCTTCTCTCGTTTTTTTTTGTACTCGCCGTGAAGTGGTTTTGCGGCCTGCCAGTAAACCCAGAGATGAAGAAGACGAAGTGACGTCAGCGTAATCTTGCCTCAGGGAAAGTACTGCGGTGTGAATGCGATTGGCACTAGCCCCCTGGCGGATTCAGTGCCGTGGTACTTTAGTGCCGGCACTAAAGTACGGCAAGTCCTGCGGTGTGAAAGCGGCTATTGACTTACATGCATTTCCTGGAGACTTATCCTAACCTTAACCAACACTTGCCTAACCCTAACCCTTACCCTAATCCTAACCAAGTCTTCACCCTAAAATTAATGATTCCCCTTATGGGGACCTCCAATTTGTCCCCATAAGGGAGGCGAGTCCCCACACGTGACTGTGTAAACAGATTTAGGTCCCCACAAGTGCTAATGCTATTATCTTACGAAAATATAGAAGGCAAATCAGTCACAACAAACAACCAGACACTATAACTAGAAACTATGCGATAAATAACGGTGGAACAATAACAATCCAATGGCAGAGAGTTGCTTCATTAGCAGACACAGATACAAACAGGCCTAAGCATCAGACATGCCCCGGTGTAACGTCTTGTTTCCTCGCTGCCACCACAGCAGTCAGCGTGCAGGAACTAATGAAAACACACATGAGGAACTTTTTGTCATGATTAGACAACCCACTGTGGGAAGTGTCTGGAAGCCAAAATATGGAGCTGTGAGATGACTGCTGGGTGCGTAGAAACACAGAACCCACAGGACTCTGCCGTCTCAAACTGGAGTCAGTTTGTCTCTGACAGAAATAAAATACAATCTATTAATCATAGCTCTTAATAAGTACTTATACAATATGGGACTTTCTTTCCAACTAACTAAAGCCAGAACTCTTTAAAAACAGGTGTCACTCTGAGGTAAGGTAATGGATTTCAAGTGAACATGGGCTGCATGTTTAATGGGATTCAGTGTTTTGGCTTCAAGCCTTAAGCCTGTTTTGGTTTTCCACAATTAAAAGAACAAGATGGTCTGCGATATTGATGTAGCGCTGACACATATATAAATATAAGATTGAATATCATCTTATATTTTGGATATTGTTGTCTTTTTTTGGTTTTAAAAGCTGAATTTGAGGAGAATGGTTATGAGGCCAGAGCGTCAGAACTAAAATGAATGAATTCAGTAAAGCAGAAATCGGTTTATTCAGTTTTTGATAAAAAAAGCCTTGGTGCAAATGTATTTATATTTTTCTAATAGAAGATGAACTATTAAAAAGTCTAACTTTTATGCACATAAAGTATTTTTGCACTAGGAATGTAGTACAATATGGATGTGAAAAGGAAGTGATTTGATAATGACTCAACAGGCCGAGCAGCATGTGGTTCTGGGAGGCTAACGGCATGCAGGAGAAGCATAGATCAGATACA